TATACAAATGCAAAATGTAGAAAATACCGTGATATATACCGTATATTGCATTTCAGCCAAAAACACCGAGGTATGATTTTTTTTGGCCATATCGCCCAGCCCTAGCCTACTAGAAAGTATTTTTGATAGTTCCGTTCCGTTCAGCTCATATCGGATGTTTCATAGGCTACATATATAGTATATACAAATACAAAATTTAGCGTGATAAAATACCGCGATACCGTATTGCATTTCAGCCAAAAAGCACCAAGATATGATTTTTTTGGCCATATCGCCCAGCCCTACTAGACACAGTAGCCTATTGTTTCCGTTCCGTTCAACTCACTTCACGCAATCATAGGTTACTAGTTCAGCTGACACGCCGTTATGCACTAAAATTCTACAGTCGAGAAGCCCAGTAAGGTTTGAAACACAGCCACCAAAATGAGTCTCTCCAATAGCTGCTCCGTGTCGACACAGCAGAGGAAAAGTGTGAGAAAGAAGAAACTCCTCCCTTCGACGTGCTGCACTGGGACAGATAGACTGCAGTACACACTGTATTGTAGAGGAGAGGCGGAGTTTCACCTCAGCACCGAAACCAGCTGGAAATTCAGGTGCCCGCAGTCAGTCAGTCAGTCAACTCATGTCAGTACTGCACACCGGACTACTGCGGGGACCGTCCACTTCACATTACAGGATTTTAACTAACTAAAGAAAGAGTGAAAACAACATTAAGTAATAAGAGCGAAGGTGCTTATGGTGTTATGTTTGTAGTGCACATCTTTACCGGTGTGTTTTGGTGAGTCGTGTCGCTTCCGCTTTTTTCCGTCCAGCAGTTTGACGCCAAAATTCAGCAGGAGTCAATAGGGATTTTTGATACTCCGTAAACTATTTCACTGGACACTGAAAAGGAAAAAAGGAATATCAATTATTTATTGTTCACGTGGTGAGTAGACGTGTCTCTTGTCATGTCAGTACATTTTGTTTTGGTCAAACTTTTCTTCGCCATGTTTCATTCGTCAGTGCGCATGCGGCGGAAATGCACCTGAGTCAGGTAGACGCGCCGCAACAAAACTAGCATTGCAACTTGCGTTACTGTTTACATTTAGAGCTTTTACATGGCAAACCCCTGCTTTATTTTTTAAATGCTTCTTTTAATAAGTACAGAGCACGTGTAATGTGACGTAGCCTTCGTGTTTGTATAGTAGCTTAACATTAATATGTTCAGTAGTTAAGCACCACTTGATGTCTCTGGGTCTGAATCCGCTTTGGTACTTGATGCTACTATACAATACTAGATAAAATACTAAAAAGCTGAATCTATTATACAAATGTATCCATACATTTGCTGTATCCTAATGAAATTTAACTTATTTACATCAGTGAGAAACTTGTCTTACTCATAGCAGTATTTGTGTTTCGTGCCTCACTTATATTGGAATTGTATTTTAATCATTTAAATGAAGACAGTGTCAGAAATACAGATAAATGTATTTACGTATGGGTATTTACAAATGGTATTTGAGACAAGAATAATGTGGTACAATGTGGTGCAAAAATCATCTTATTATCATCAATTTTCTTAATCAGTTTGTTTGTATTGCCTTCCACTAAAAATATCCAAACATCCTTAAAAGAACAAGAAAGAAAGAAAATCCAAATATAATAGATTTGTATAGAGGACATATCTTGAGTTTAATTGTCTTAAACATTTACAAATTGTTCTTCTTTTTGAGTATACTGAGTTTCTTGCTGAAAATCGAGACAAAAATAGTTGTCTCACAGTTATGCTTCTCAAATAAATCTGCATTTAAAAAGGAAATCTTTTAAAGACTCTTAAGTATTTACTGGAAAGCAATACGCACATGCTGATTAAAAATGAATTCTCAAAGTGTAAATGAAAACGACTGATTAGTTCAACGTTAGCTTTGTATGCAATTCATTTTTGAATATTATTGCTATGACCTTGGAGAGTAAAAATAACTGAATGAAAATGGATAAATTATCATATCAGGTTTTGAGGATTTTGTTGTAGTTTTGCTGTTTTTATATATATATATAGAGAGAGAGAGAGAGAGAGAGAGAGAGAGATTGCATCTGGGAATGCAAATGTTGTTTGTTTCTTTGCAACAAACATTACAGCTGATTAAATTGGCTCCACACACCTGCCAAAGCACTCTTCTCATTAAAGTTTGCTGCCCGTGCATTTCATTTGAACACCATGCGATTGCAGAAGTTTGGCACTTATGCACGAGGCTAGTTATGTCAGCTTTTCTTTGGCTCATTTAGTTAGACAAGAAAATTGCAGCACACATTTGCTTTCCGTCTGATCCCTCAGGATATTTATATGCCATTAGTATTTATGCTTCAAAAATCTAAAAAAATGTTTTATTAGTGTGGTGACTTTTTAGTCCAAGTAAACAAATCATAGATATTTGTATTGACAAAAAAAAAAAA